CAATAAACCCATTCTGCATGCCAAACTGTCAATCAATAAGCCAAACCAAACGTTGTTGTAAGCGTAAAGTATTTGAGAGTGTTTATGATTGCCAGTAGGAACAAACTGGTGCAATGCGAATACATTACCTAGTTTGAATTTATTTTTAATTGTTGTAGGCGGTGCCTGGGAGTTTCGCACCAATTTGAGACATCTAGTGAAAGCAGATCCATACCACGGAGTGAAAGCCTTCCCCTTCCTGTGCTTTCGCCTTTGACTGCTGCATCGAACACTCTCGAGGTAGAGCGTATTTTCGTCCATGCGGGTGACATGATTTAGCCAACGTAACCGCTGCATCAAGAGTAATTCTGCATTAGATTTCCTACCTGAAATGTTAATGTTTATGCTGGTTCTTAGATAGACGAAATCGTCTTCTACTTCAATGTTTTGTCTGTCGACACGTATTTTAACCATTCGTTAGCCGTTCGGAAGGTCGGGGTTTATATCCCATTTCATCCAACATCCAAAAGTTATAGAAAATTAATTTTGATAAAAAATTAAGTTAAATTTTCTAATTACGATTGCTCCGGAATGTCAACAGGGAATGTCAACCCCTCGAGTGTATTTCTGACATGAAATAAAGGCTCCTCATAAGCAAACCATCAGCCGTTCGGAGGTGGCTTTGTATAAACTGTAGGTCGCTCCATTTGTTGGAAAACATCAAGACGCATACTTTCGTCCAGCCATATTCTGCGGTGAAGCTGATACGAGCTTATCGCTGCTTGTTTTTGAATAGCTATACCGCTTAGTCGGGTACAGCAACGTCTATATATAGAATCGTTATCGATTGCGGTTTCAGACTCAAAAAACTCTGAACGTCAAGCAAATGTTGTTGGTCATATTTCAACACTTTCTCTTTTCCTGTCTGCAATCGCAACAACTGTCTATAGAGCACACCAAGAGTGACTTTTTACGTTTGTAATGGCATCTCAAAAACGGCTTGTGGACTATCATCACTCCATATTCGAAAATTTTGTACTTATTCAACCAAAAGAGAGCTTTATCGCTGAAGAAAATTTTTTTGTGAAAATCTGATCCCGATGGCTATCTCGATTCGGACAAACCAAAGTGAGTATGAAACCTATAACAGTTTTCAAAGAGAAGTGTTTTCTCCACTTGTCCCAGAAAACACATTTTATTAATTTAATACTTGGCATTAACTTCCTATAAAGATGAGGAAATTACGTGATCTAGAAAACATTATATGCATCTATGAAGGTAAGAGCATTTTTTGTCAAAGACCATAATTTTGACCTACAATATACTTTACAAACTGATATTAATATTAGGAAAATTAGGTAAAAATTGTAATAATACCAAAAGCTTTAAGTCTAATTATCAAATTAGTGAAACAAAATTTCCAACTTGCTAAAAATTCCCTACTGGGTTCTCTTAGTAATTGTTGAATCGTAGCAGTAGCACTTTTTCACTTAACTCCTTCGCTCGCTTAAACGTGAGAGTAACGGCTTTTAAGTAGTTACAGTTTCGAATACATTTGCGTATACTTACTTACATATTTACATACAAAACCCGAGCCCTCATCAGCAATGTCATCAAAGTCACATCGCATCGTTTACACGCCACACATCTGCGCTTATCAATGAGTTTAAATTTCAATTTTATTTAATGGTCACCATTTACGGTCGCCATTTGCACGCTTTAATGTGGGAGAGCAATCATCTCGACTACTTATTGCTAGCAAACGATTTTCATAAACGATTATTAGAAAATCGATTTAGTTAATTATACTGATAAATATTTATAAAGGGAAAAATAGCTGAAGGTATTACGTAAGCGGTTTTAGTTGGTTTTAAGCGATTTTTTAAAATTAAGTTCACAGAGAAAAGATGGCATTGACTTAAACTTTGCAGAGTAAGAACCCAAGGTATACAAGAATAGCAAACGACTTTAGTAACAAATGAATTTACAAGTACTTGAAGCAACTCACCACCTCCGGTCTTAAGCTAAGTACCCTCAGGGTCGCCAATATACATCCGTTTGTAGGCGAACTAAAACGAGAAGTTGAGTCTAATGCGTTTGTGTGTGGCGTTTGGGCTCCACCACATCAAGAATAAACTCTAGTGAAAAATCAATATATGCCTCGGGTGGGAGGCCCCTTTTTATAACGACCCACGCGATTTAAAGGCACTCACCTGAAATGTTCAGTTCCTTAATTGGGAAGGTGCCGCTGCCTAGCTGCTTGATGAACTCATTAAATGAAAGGCTGACATAGCCACCATTCAATAAGTGCAATGGACAGGACAAGGACGGAAAAAGGTGGGTCCTTGTGAAATATACTAGTGCGATCATATACTGGCATTCAACCATACCATACCTCCGATAGAGGAGAAGGACGATGTGATCAAGGCTGCCTTTTATAAGCGCATGAAATGCAGTTAGAATTGGGAAGGACCTTACTGAGCTGTTCGATACCAAACTAAGTTTCAGATAGTATGACTCTTTACCGTTTTATTTCTGCTATAAGAGCTTTCTTCAATTTGAAGCTGGAAAAAATAATAATAAGTGCAGAGCTAAATAGGCAAGATATTTATCTTAGACATTAGTGTACATCTATATGCCGATAGCATTAGGTCTTAACAACAGCGGCGTTATTTCTTCTTTCTCAAAACTTTCACAGATAATTTCGTCTATCTAGCGACCACCATCAGCACCAATAGTAAGCAGAATTATTCTTGCCAACAGACTGAGGAGGCAATGAAAAAGTAAAATCCTTTCTATACGAGCAACTCTCTTGGAAGGATCAGGTGGATAGCGACCTGCTTTTCCTTGGTATTCCGACCGAAAATTGAAAGTTAGGAATGAATAGCGAGCTGTGGTTGATTCGGATTTTGTTTATCATAAGCCTAAAGAAAGAATAAATTGATTAAAAATTCTTTCAGTTACCGTGGCCACTAACGGTTGCCGTGTGGTTAGCATTGCGTACTGCTATTCGGAAGGCCCGCGTTCATATCCTGGTGCGATAATAAAAAAATATGTTAAATTTTCTAATTGCGAGCGCCTCTCGGCAGGGTATGCCAACCCCTCCGAGAGTTTTTCTGACATGAAAATTCAAAAGCTCCCCATAAAAATCCACCAACCGTGAGGTGGCTTAGTATAAACTGTAGGTCCCTGCATATGTTGGAAAAACATCAAGACACAAAACCACAATTTGTAGGTGGTCCCATAGGTATAGTCTTTCAAATCTGAGCTGTCTTGCATTTAGTGAGACGGTGGAGAGGAGTGCCTAAACGAGCGGAAAGTATAACTGGATAAGCCCAAGAAAGTTGGTATTGCAACTGATTCGTACCAAAACGAGGTTATATATGTCGATCAATATTCACTGTCGAGTCTCAAGAGCCTCCTCTACAATAGTTAGTAGTTGAGTGTCCTTGTAACTCATCATCATTCATAAAAGAAAGTTAAGGAAATTATTGATTTACTTCCTGTTGCTTCACGTTGCAATCATCGGCTCTACTAGATATGGCTGAAAGAAGTCTAATCTTGTACTTCCTTTCTTATGTGACTGGAACGCAGATGTGATCCCTATTATAGCACCTCATTCATATATTGCTTTTAATAAGCTATGCTATGTTTCTTGACGGGAAGTTTAGTTGTCCCACAGTGAAGGTGCTGTGTAGGTGACATCATATATTTCAGCGTTAGTGTCTTCAAGACGTCACACTAATACTTGGTGTTAAAATTGGCTTAACGTTATTTATTTAAACGAGTCGCCAGCAACGGTTATTTCAGTTTGTCCAAAGTTCTGCCGACTAAAGGATTTTATTGCAGCTCTCTACTTTGAAGAGTGAGGTCTTCTGCAAAGTAAAAGAGTGAAGGAAGTGACACTTCCAGTCGGAATTTTTCCATCATCACCTTGGCATTCAGATCTAGATGGTGCTTCTCCGAACAGCAGGCTGCCGTGTAGATATTTCTTTGTAAAGTAGTATGAAGAGTCTGAAAGGAAGGCGTTTTCTTTCCGGTATATGGTATCTAGGATACTGTATTTGATGGTGGATGGAAGAAGGGAGCGAAAATGGGGGAAGGACTATAACCTGAAAAACCTCGTTTATAATTGTTCTGAACTTGGCTGAATAGTACTTAATTTTCGACAGTGATTGACTTTGTCCAAGACTTTTCATCGCCACCAGGACAGTTCCCTTTCACATTTTCCCAGGTTTCAGAAATTAAACCGCTTATTCCTGTTTTCACATTTTTATATAATTGGGCGTAGTCATCGTTGTCTGACGCAAACAGCTTGCGCCTCGATCCTTCCAAATCCAGAACTATCACGGAATTTTCAAGGAATTTCCGTAAAAGACCGGTAAAATAAAATTTAAATTTCATTGTTGAATTCCACTAAATTAGCTCTTTACTGCAAGTGAATCTGGAACTTTCGCTTTCTATGTTATATATTCTGAGAGTAAGAAATGTAAATTCTCAATTACTCAACTTTAACGGTACTTATAGTACTATAGGTCAGCAAGAGCCACAACATTTTCGTTAAATTCTCTTTAATATTTTCCCCACGCACCCATAAATAGAACATGCAGTACATGCAAGTATTCAATTTGGCGAACTGACAGTGAGAACCATATATTCCAAGCCAAAAACAAAAGCCGCATTCTGCCAACGCAGGCTCTTCGCATTCAAAAGCTAGTGAAATCACAGCAATTGGACTATTGGTCAATAACTGCGACCGCATAACACATACGGACATTAGATCAAAACAAAAATAGCGGAAATACGTAACAAAGCAACGAACGAATGTGCAAAACAAAAGAAATCGTCGGAGGAGAGCGTCAAAGTCAAGGAAAGTTATTGTTATGCGAGCAGAGAACGAATGACTCGCAATGCCAACCGAACGACGTCAGCGCCCGCAGCAGCGTCGACGATTTGATATGAAGACAAAAACGCATTTTAATTGATTAAAAAGTACTTCGACGTATAAAAACCGCAAACCGCTAATAAACCATTTACATACCCACTTGGATTGTCTGTGCGAGAAGACGCACCTACAACTTACTGCGAGGTCATCACATATTCAGGCAGTTGACAAGCCGATAAGCGCAATACGAGGATGAGGATTTATACCATTGTTTTAGTGGCAGCGCTAACAATAAGCGCTGCATACGCTGGCACCACACAAGTAGCGCCCACACGCTCCGCCACCGATCTGGCCTACGACATGTACAATGGTTGCTTGAAGGACTTCAGCACGAGTTGTGTGCAACCGAAGGCGTTGCAATGGTATAATCAAGCACTGCAACAGGATGAAATACAAATCACCGATAAACTTTCTATTGTGCGCACGAGTCGAGTGGAGGCCACGCAACAGCGCTCCCTCAACTCACAAGAACAGATGTTCAACGATATTGACAATTTCCTAGCCACACATGCGTTGCGCGTGAAGGCGCCTGAGTTCTTCAGCAGCGAAGAGGCGCGCTCATATGTACCTGACTTCTTGTTCAGCAATGTCTTGACAAAAGATTCTGTAGTGCCATTGGCCGAACGTGATCCCAATCAAGGTGAGTGAAGTGTGTAAATGAATGAAATGCCAATAATTCGGGAAACATTTCTTTGGTGTTCCGCAGGACGTGGTATGGTGCGCAAGGTGTTATTGCCCTTCCTCATCGGTTTGAAGCTGAAGACCACTGTTTTGGTGCCACTCGCTTTGGCACTGATCGCGCTCAAAACATGGAAGGCCATGACTTTAGGTCTACTCTCGTTGGTGTTGTCTGGTGCTTTGGTTGTATTCAAAATTGCCAAACCAAAGGTAGGCATGATTAATTAAAGATTTTATTTTATTCTTTCGTTTACAAATGTGTCTCTTCTGTAGATCATCAACTACGAAGTGGTTCATTACCCACATCACGTCGAGCATGTGGAACATATCGAACACATTCCACATCACATTGATCATTTCCCCCATCATGTCGAACACATTGTGCCACATCACATTGACGTCGTGCCCCATCATGTGGATCATCATGTCGATCATCATTTGGATATACCTCCACACGTGGAACATATTGAGCACTTCGAACATCCATCACCCGCTTGGGATCCACACGCTTGGGCGCGTTCATCGCAGGAGCCACAAGATGCTCAAGATATGGCTTTCGCTGGCCAGAGGCAACCTTAAATTAATTCACACTTTCAATTAAGGAAAAGTATTTACGAATGCTCGAATTCGAATTCGAATGGAAATTGATGACAAGCAAACGCTATTATTTATTGTTTTACTTAGTTTTAAGAATGGCTCAAGTCTCCAAAGAAATTATTTATTGAAGAAAGAAATATAAAAAATTATGAAGAAAAGCAATCACTAGAAAATATTATTTATTTCTTCCCTTGTACAAAAATTTGTTAATATTTATTTTTAGCGATTATGAAAACCCCGTTAATTATAGAGATTATATAGAAAATTAACAATAAAATAAATTGAGAATCATTGTTGAAAATCTGTGATATATCTCCTTTTATTTATCTTAGATTAACTTCAATTGGCGGTTCGTCCACATTAGGTGGTCAAGGCTATCGCAATTTAATAGGCTGGGGAAAATCTGTATCCAAAGTTCCGAACAGACTCGTACCTCCGCGCAGTTGAGTCTCCGCTACTGCCATTAGAAATCTCGACTTTTTTGTTCTAGCTGTTTTAAAATATGTACGTAGGATAATCGACGGAAGTATCTCAAATCACTATCACAAAATGGTTTTGTTTAAAACAACAACGACAAAAATATCATAGCCTCCTTCAACTCTTTAAGTATCTCGACTTAATTCTTGATACGGAGCTTAGGCGAATGGAACGACGAGACGAATAAAGCTACGGGATTACGATCTCATACGATAAATTGACTTAACTAAAGTGTAATAGGTTACACTAAAGGAAAAGTGTCACATCTGTAAAGACCCTAGAAATTATCTTCGAGATCAGGCCTATTAATTTCTATATGATTGGATCTAGCCGTTAACTATACAGGTAATTTCAGAAAGGTATGAGGGGGCTAGTGGTAAACGTACAATGCAAACTAGAAATGAGAACTTCTGTCAGGTATACGACTTCTACTCCTTCTTGAGCAGGGAGCACTAGGCGGAAGGTAAGATTTTCGGTAATAATGAAGACATATATATCTACATATACAGTACTAAGCTGGCTTTAGACTCAATGACAATAGCTCTGCCTTGCAAGCCAAGAATGTTTTCTTTACTGAAGGTGCCAGCATGAATTGCTGACAGATCTTAGTATTTTGTAGGTGTACTGACCATCTCTAAAATATAATCTCTACAGTTTAGACATAATGAAATCGGCTGAGCATACAGAGAAAATATGAAAAAAATTTTGTAAAATTTTGCACGGTGATCTAAGTACCAGCATAATCGACATGGATACGTATGGTTGGAAGAATTTAAAACAATTCAATAAGTCCAGCAAAGTGTTCGCCAGAGAATCAATGAAATAGATGTGGCTGTTCGCACTCAGGACTTCAACATTCACTTTCATTTAACCAACAATCCAATAGTTAGGGGGTTATTAAAGCATTTTTAGTATAAAAGCTGGGCAAGGTTGTCAATAGAGTTCAACAATTTAAGAAAATTTTGGAGAAACTCACAAAATTCTAACAAAACTCAGCGGGTGCATGGCTATTTCATTTCACATTACATTAAAGACATTAAAGAAAATGCATTTATTAAGGAAACTTAAAGAATCCCTGTAGGGAGAAGGTAAACTAGTATGCAGAAAGTAATTTCAAATACTAGTATTTTGAAGATGAAATCACAGCAGCCGATTATTTGTATTGCTATGCACGAGTAAAGCGATAAATAATATTTCCACCATTGTTGTTATATACAGCTGGCGATTCAACAGGACGATAGCCGAGTGATTAGAGGCTATAATTATAGTTCCGATGTTCTCGATTCGAATTTCGTTTTGCATTTCTTGTTTTCTTTTTTATGTTTGGGAAAGTAGAAATTTTCACTCTATGCCATTAGTATGTTGTTGTTATTTTTAGTACGCCACGAATGCTCTATTAAAGTGCGCAGATCTCATTGCTCTCTATATCAAGACGATGGTCAAGTGGTTAGAGGTAATTACTGTAGCGCGTAAGGTTCATTTTATTCCTTTATTTTCAATTTCTTCTTTATTCTTTTGAAGCATAAGTTTAACATGCGTAAATGAACTTTTCTTTCACTAGTATGAAGGTAATGCTTAACCGAACAACTGACAGTTGGTGGAGCAACGATATGTTAGAAATTCATTTGCTTAAATGGAAAATAGATGCAATATGAACTAATTAGTGCAAAAATACAAACTAAGTGGACTCTAATTGACAACTAATATTTTTTCCTACAGGGATATCACAACTCAACCAACACTTCCTTGTACTTACCAGACAGTGTCCTTTTCTTTGGCTCTCTGGTTTTCACTAATTAACTAAAATGTAGCTATTAAGCAGACAGGTTTTTGCCTTACACCCTTTTTGTCTGCTAAAATATTTTTTTTACGTTCCGTAAAAGTTTTTCTAGAAAAGTTATTAAAAAAATACGCCTTTTTCTTAACCCATTTTTTTCTTTTTACTTTTTTACTGCCAAATACACAAACATTTTGTAACTTAGTTAAGCTAATTAATCTTCCATACTCAAGTTATCCACATCAAAAACGACAAGTCCCAGATAACTTATACGTAATTGCCAAGGAAAAACGAACACTCGTACATACCAACCCTCGACTCTAATTATATAATTTTCCAAATTAACAAAAAAGCTTCGTTTGGTAAATATTCAATGTTACAAGAATCATGAAATTTACCATTTTTAAATTTTTAATTCGCATTGCCATATGCCATTATCCCTTCGGCAGAGTGGTATTGTTAATCCTACGAACTGTGGGAAAAAACGAACCCAACACAATTTACAATTAAATAAACCTTTTCCACTCATATTTTTCATGGAAATTTACGTGCAACTTCAGTAATGAAAATAGCCGCATTCGGTTCATTTTTATTACACTCTCTTAAGCATGAAAATGAAATTAACACTGAACCCACTCACCGAATATTTAGATCTTCATCAAGTACTACGTCCTTTTTATGTACTCACGCTGTGCATATTTGTGCCTTTTATGTACATTTCAAACATTCCAAGTAACCCGAAATTTTAGCGCCCTTGGTGCTGGTGGTTGTTATGTGCAGATTGTCTTTTCATTTCCCTCTTGTGCAAGTTGGGAGTTACTTAAATTGTTGGCGCCAATAAGTTATTCGCAAGCACAGTAGCTCATTTTCAATTTACGAGCTTGCGAGTGCCGTGTATCCTTTAGCAGTTGAGGGCTGTGTTGCAGGCTAGTGTAAGTTATGGTGGCATCATTGGAGGAAGTAACATAAAAAATTCAGAAAATCGCGATTTCGCTGGGCTATTATGTGACGCAATTTTACGGCATGGGGGAGAATTATAAATCTTCATTTAATGTAGTGCAATTTTAAAGAAGCTTTAAAGGAAATACAGTGAAACTCCATCTTTTACTTAAAAATTGAATCTAAAAGGCGGATGAATTCGCTAAGTAAGGTACGATTAAGTAGATTCTTCTCAACAAAGAACACATTGATATGCCTTTTGCCAGTTCCAAGCTGCTTTTCAGGGAAATTTCATAAGACACAACGCGTCAAGGTGGACTGAAACTACAACTTGCCGCAAATCCAAGCATACCTTGCCAAAATGGCATAAGAAGAGATGAAGAGATATGTACAAGTATTACATGGGTATTTCCGCTATCCAAAGTAGTAGAAGATTGACAAGGCACTGTCTGATAGGATGGCATGCATTGAGACTAGTGGCTCGCTATAGAAGATGTTGCAGAAGCTGCAAATATAATTAGATGAAGGAAACGCTCAGCCAACTCTTATGTAGCTGTACTGGCCTGGACAGGGCTAAGTTTCGTAATTTTAAGATCCTATTGCTGTATGGTCTAACGAAGATAGCCGATTAATTGGAGAGTCGAAATGGTTGGATAACGAAATCTAATGGTCTAGTTTTTGTAACATCACAATGGTCAGGCCTTAGTGTGATCGGTGCTATATATTGATTGCCTCCACAACTTAACCTAACCTTATAACCAAAATAAGTTGAATAAAGCAATATTTAGTGCATTAAAAAAATTAATAAGCTATTTCGATGTAAGATTATTAAATGACCTTCAGTAATTCTTTTATGAATTGCCTTAGCTGTACCCAGAATTTGTTTAAATTAGTTTATTTTATGGTTTTTTTAAATAATCTTTGGCCTTTCAGTATTCTAAAGTTCTATTCGGAGTTCCTTTCTAAATGCATTATAATCATTAACGATATGTAATGAAAACTTTTCCGTATCTCCATCAAAAATAAGGAATTTTATTATGAAGAAGTTTTCTTGCCCTCCAACTAAATCGGCTTCATCGTTTACCGAAGAAACGAAAATGTTCGATCTGTCCGAGTTTGATGTTCGAAGAGAGTGAGGCACTCCCTTTAGCAACCGCCACATTATCGAATATTTCCAAGGTACTTAAACCTATTTAAGCCTACTTAACTGAGTTTGTTTGAAAATAAAATGTCGAAATCACTTGTTGAACCGCTCTTTAAAGCACTCTCAGCAAAAATAATATCGTAAGTTTCTCTGGCAGACCTTAATCGTAAGATAATTCAAAATGTAGATAATCTTCATATACCATTTGGACTAGTTATTAATGGACGTAGCTTTAACTTTCCTTACTTTCTCAATAATGAAGATGATCTCTCCTTTGGCATATATTGGGAGTCATTTTCCATCTGATCTTTAGAACGGAGCGAAGGAAGATTTTTCCATCTTTCGCTGATTCTGGCAATGGCTCCTGTATCGAAAATATTCCAAGGAGGAGGGTTTCCTTATATACGAATGGCATGCCCTAGTCCTCCACCAGAACTAAACAACGAGGCGAATACTGTTTGTATTATTTTTGTCAGCAAAAAATTTATAGAGGACACAAGGTGAAGAACCCACTTGAATGAAGTCATATTTGCTACCGGCTTCCTGAAAATTCGTAAAGAATTTGCTTGAGATATAAAAGTTAAAGAAAATCATCGAATTTGAGCTTCCATGCAGATGACTAGCTTTTGGAGCTTTTAATTAACTCCAACCATATTTGCGAAACTATATTCTGACTAGAGAAACAAAAGCTTTGGTTCTTATTTTCCGCTCTCTTGAAAGTTTGAAATATTGTACTTTCACAGCTGAAAGATTGGTTGAAGATGTCCATATGATATGGT